CTTGTATATGTTTTGTTTTTGTACACAAAAAGTTTTTTTAAGACTATTTGTATAGTTTCTTCAAGTGGAATGTTTGTGAATAAAGATTCAATGTCAAAACTAGCAAGTATATATTGATTGGCATTATTAATTTTGGAACTTTCTTGGGTAAAGGAAAAGAAATCTTTAACTGTAAATTCATGGAAGTGAGTGAATTTAGAATAAGAACAAAGAATTTATACCATCCTTTTATTCTGTATTTTAATTACTTTTTATAGAATGTTTAAACTTTATAAAATGTCTGTACCTAATAATTTACCATGTTCATTGGTTGACTTTTGTTTTTTAATGTCAAAAACGTTGACTTTTCTTTTTTTAACATTAGAATTAGATGGCATTCCATTTTCAATATTAACATTAGGCCTGTGCACTGGCATGTCAGTGTCAGTATTGGGCCTGACGTCAGCCACGTCTCTTCATGTACTTTTAACAGCTGCAAAGCAACATCTTAAAAGATTCATCGATGATGTTATAATCAAAATCCACACTGATTGTCCAAGTTATCTTCTCATACATTCAAGGTCAGGCCTAAATTATTTCCAACAGTATCTGTGTAGGGACATTTTTGTTGATTACTTTCAATATTTCAATTACTTTCAATATTAACATTAGGCCTGTGCACTGGCATGTCAGTGTCAGTATTGGGCCTGACGTCAGCCACGTCTCTTCATGTACTTTTAACAGCTGCAAAGCAACATCTTAAAAGATTCATCGATGATGTTATAATCAAAATCCACACTGATTGTCCAAGTTATCTTCTCATACATTCAAGGTCAGGCCTAAATTATTTCCAACAGTATCTGTGTAGGGACATTTTTGTTGATTACTTTCGAGTGAATAATTATTAAGTTAGGTTATATAGTACTGTTTCTAGATGGCACTGTGTGGTGCCCAATCATATTTGAATACAGTGTCATCTTCAGGAAATTTTCATACGATAGAAAGTAAACTAAATTATGGAAAACATGAACCTAATTTTACTTGGATTTACTGTTCATAACTTGAAAAAAAAAATTCATAATTAACTTGTTGTTTTTTTGTTACAAGTTGGTAAATTATCAACTAATGTAATTTAACTTATAAATCAAATAATACTCTATCAGTTAATTCCTTGAAAAAGATGCACACTGTGATACTGGATCAATGATTTATTTTAGAGGTATGCATGGTTTTTATTTTTTCATCTCCGTGTGGATTGTTTACATTTAAACTTTTATGATGTAGACCTATGTATCATTTTAGTCCATCATATGGATTAGGGATAAATATTAAGTTATTAGATAGCCTGTGAAAATCTTTTATGGACTTATTAGTATCCGAAATAAACACACTGGAAGCACGTTATGAGGCAAGTCAAATGACTTGCATTGGTAATAACTAAAAGAATATGGATGGACCATGCATTCACAAATGGAAAAGTCAACTAAAAAGATGAAATTCCACAAGCAAAGTTAAATTCCTCAGGAATGTAATATTTCAATTCTTGGAATAGCTTCAAGGACAAAGGCATTAGACACAAGGCAAATTGGAAATATACTATAAATATACTACACGCAACTTCTGTAATGAACTCACAACCTATTTAATTTTTTCTGACAAAAATATTTCTACTTGATGAAGGATTTAATCACAAAATAAAGTGCAAAACAAATGCATCACCCTGGAAAAATAATCAATAAATTAATTAATATATAAATAAAAACAATTTGTTTGCCCATGCACAACCAACCTGAAAAATCTTATTCTTTAAACTTGTTTTCAAATTTTTTGCTGACAAACTGAAATGTTTATACTCTATGATTCTTTGAATAACAGAGATAAAAACAAACTAAAAAAAAGACCTACAGTTAAAATAATTAAAAAAGTACTGATTGAAAACTTTTCTTTGAATATTGAAGTTTGTTTTTTGTGTAAAAATAAACATTATGTAAGAATGAAACTACTGAATAAAGTTTTTGCAACACAATATCAAATGAATGTTATGTAAACCTCAACTTACTAGTTCACTATTAAGCAAGTAATAAAAAACATTTTGTAAATGTAAATTATATAGGGATGGTAGTGGCAAAAAGAATGCAAACAAGAATATACAGATGATACATAAATCATTCCAACATGACTTTCAATATTAACATTTAATATTATATCATAAAATGCACCAGTACAAAATCATTACAAGGGTGGGTCAAATTGACTGACCTCAAAGCAAGAGTCTGTGATGATCAAGACATGTTTTGACTCAACTTAGTCTTAGGCTCTTAGTTACACTACATTGATACCTACCCTGAGATAACCATAAAATCATGATAAATAAACAGCATACCAACAGTCATGAAAATATATCTTCCAACTACAGTAATATTAAAGTATGCATTTTACAGTGTAACATTAAATTTTTAAATTGAAAGTCATGTAGGGATGATCTATGTATATCTGTATCATCCTTATGTTCTTGTTTGTATTTTTTTTTTTTTGTCTATGCCATCCCTTTTATTACTTGTTTTGCAACATTTTTTCTTGACTGAAAATGTATTCTATGAATGTGTGTAATATAATTTAATATTATGTGTACTGATTTTTTTTACTCCTTCATTTCATACATAATATAGGGGTTAGCTCCCTAAAAATACCAATTGTTTTGTGTACATAGCATTGAGTATTCTATATGTTCATCTATTATTGGCTGGTAATTCCTGTTTCACCTTGTATTTAAGCTTTTTAAAGGAACAGCAGATTCTGAAAAAAAAAGCTAACTTCAAGGGGTAATTATAACATAGTTTACACTAGAATTTTTTTTTATTACTACTAGTTTTTATAACTAAGTGATGACAACACTCACTACCCAGAAACACAGAGTGGATTTTGGTTTAAACTGACATTAGTGATAATGTAGTTGTAGTTATAAATTTAAAGCATGTTTATTGATTTTTCTTTTCTAAAAAAATGGAAATATCCTCCAAAAAAGAAAAGAAAAAGGGTAGCTGCAAATAGTAGGTAAACTCATGCCACTTGTACAACCACTTGGAACTTCTTTTATTTTCATTTCAACAAATACAAGTAGAACAGATAGCTTGAAAAACTGCTTTTATTATTATTATACTCTGTTCACAAGTTTCCTCAACACCGGAGGTGTTTTATGCCTCCATAAAATATTACAAATTTCAAAAATATTTTGTGTAATGCTGTTTGTTATTTTATCTGTTATCCTAAAATAAACTGTGGATACTACTTAAAGCCAAAAAAAAAAAGACAGCTTTGTTACACAGTCACTATCAATGGCAGCAGATTAAGAGCCAAGCCATTATTATAAAAACTAGTTGGTAATTTGTATCTATTAATAAAAACAATTTTTAACTAATTAGGTTTGTATGATCATATAGGCTACTAAACAAAACAACAAGAGATATCCAGTTGCCATAATCTTACCATAAATATCCAATCAAATTCTTACTTTTGCTTCTGTTGCTCTGAGATTTAAAAAGTAAACAATGTAAATCTACTGGCATCATCAGCTGCTATAGTGAAAAGCAAAAGTATCTAAAATATTTGGATGAGCAGAATCTTAAAGAAAGAGGAATGAAACCTGAAAAAACATTAATGTTTAATGAGATAAAAAGAAGCACTAATGCATACAACAGGATAATGATGAATTACAGATAAGGAAATTCACTTGGATAGCAATAAAATGTCTCCCATTAAAATTTTATCATTAAAAATATACTCTGGTCATGTGACCTCTCTGTTGCATACTGTATATATATTCCTGTGTCCATGTAAACTACTGTTACCTGATTTTGTCGAAATGTTGTACATTTATAATAAAGTTTTCCTCATTACCCATTCAAACCGTCTCCAAACTTTTATCTTCTAAAAAGTGGATTCCTCATCATCAAATATATTTAATAAGTTTCCATGCCACAAAATAAAAAATGGAAGTAGTCGAACATGTCCAGTGTATGCACCAATACACTATACTTTATAAATACATATGTAATAAATCTGTTTTTTTGTTACAGGTCAAACTGAAGATTTCTTTATTCTTCAGAATTTTGGGTTTCTACTGATGATTATTTTCCATATTTATTTGTAGGAGCAAAATGGATTTATATGAAAATCTATATAAATTCACAGCATTACTGTTATTTCAAGCACTTTGAAATGCAATATAGTGGTATTGAAAGTTGTTAACAGGATAGTAATAATAGATGAACTCTACTTCAACAATGAATAGCTAAACTGTTGCATCCACAGAGAGGATTCTTCATACAAGTTCAAAAAGAATAAAGAAATCAAATTATGATATAATAAAAACTAACAGTTATAGCTGAGTAGTCTACCCCAACCTCTTACTAAAAGAGAACAATGTTAATCATGTTTGGATTTGAGATAAGAAATCATGAGTGAAACTATGAAAGCCATATCTACCTGTATGCTATCAAAAACTCAAGATATCAAGTTAGCATTCACTTGCACACTCAGCTGCTTATTATCAATGGATATTTATGGTAAAATGAATTCTGAAGTTTATATGCTTGTTGCACTACAACTTATGGTTGTCAGCATATTCAAATTCATTACCCAGATACTCAAAAAAGAGACAATCAAACACCACATACAGAAACTGGATAGTACACAGGTGTGTGTGTGTGCATTATGACTTAACATACAAAGTCTGTTATGTTGGCAAAAGACAAACTACACTGACAGTATACATAATAATAAACTTTTAAGAAGTACAAGTTTTCAAGTCAAGATAATGGACTATGTTAGGGCATGGTTTCAATATTTAAATATAATGCTACACATTTACAGATATGATTAACAATTTCTAAGTTACAGCTTTCAGTGTCAAAATTTAAAACATGTTTATCACAAAAATAGATTAAACATTCTGATTAAAAATCACTCATTTATTTGTGGATTCACTCAAAAATACAAATTTACATATGTACATACAGTACCTGCTAATTTAGTATTCAAGACATGGTCATATTCTTCCTTGATCTGTGTTTCTCGCTCTTTCAACATGCGCTCACAGATAAGTCCAACTTGACGGAAGGTGAAAAGGGGTTGGTCCTTACGGGTGGCAGACTGTAGACCCTGGCCTTGAGATCCAACAGATGGAGATGTGCCTATTGAAACTAAAGGATAGTCTGGAGTTTGGTTTCCTGACAGGAAAAAGTGCATCTGTTTATGACGCTGTAAACGTCGCATTTCTTCACGAATATTTGCTGCAATCTGACCTGTTAATGTGAAGACAATATTTTACATGTTCCTGTAATATTAAATACAATTTAATTAACTTCCTTGAGTAGTGATTACTCAAAACTATGATTAAATCAATTTTGACAAAAATAATCAACTAACTGAAATTAGTGTTTCCAATCATTACTGTTTTTGATTATTTTAACAATTGATTAAACTTGTGTATACAGGAGGAGTCAGTTTTACTAACTTTGCAAATATGAAGCTATACATACAATTCTGAATGTGCTAAGTTTATTTTCATAAAATTTTACAAGCTTTTAATAAGTATTATAAATATCCTATACTCACACACACACATACACACACACACAAAATTAATAAAGTATTTTTTACAAAAGATTTGTCTGTGAACTTAGAAAGCCTTTACTAAGTCAGTTTGAGTGAAATATGATTTTCATACTAAGAACAGAAATATTTCTTTTCATGTTACAGTTGTCATATTTCATTTGCATAACTGTTAGAACCTCCTAAATGAGTAAAAATAAAAGTTATTTTTTGGTAAAACTTTAAATTTTATTATCTTCTCTATCCTAGTATGAACTACAGCATAATCATCTATATCAAAAGTTGAAAAATAAGAAATAACATCAAAAATACAGTTTTTAATCTTGCATGACAGCAGATTGTAACAGACAATTACAATTATTTACCCTGAACATCCTACAGCTCCTAACAGTTTCACATATACTTTCATTTAATTTTATTGTTTTATTGCTCTTTGAACTGTGTTTAACTAGTGTAACAAAACAATAAATAACCTGCTGAGAGCTTAGGTAAAGCTAGGGTAAACAAACAATTGAGTTACTTTAGCAGTTATGTCAGCAAAAGCAAATTGTGAGAAATTTTTTACTTAATTCTTTTTCAGTTTTCTTATCTAACCTATTAAGTTTCTAGTTTTTGCATTATACTTTTGTTGATTTTTTTCCCTATTATGATCTTAATCCCAACTAGTTTGGAGTCCAGCAGTAATTTTTAAGCTAAGAATTTTTACACCCAAGTGGCTGGCCCAGTAAGCCACCATAGTGGACGAGCATGTTCGGTGATGGGAATTCAAACTTGCAAAACTCAGGTTGTAAGCCAAGTGCCCTAACCAACAAGCCATGCCTGGTCCTGTTAAAAATACATATATAAATAAATAAATAAGATACATAAAAACCAATAACTTTAACATTTACTTTAGCCTGCAGACCTTTTGTACTCTGGTACATGGCTTAGTGTTTTTTCTCAATATTCTGTAGAAAAAAAACAATTCATGAAGCTTTGAAATATGCAATTTTAGAACATAAAAATCATATCAGACACCAGAATAGAACATCTCAAAACAATTATAATTCATCTGGCTTTCTAACTGGCCTAGAAATAGGTTAAAACTTTAATTTGTGTTTGGAGCAATATCTTTAGTATAAACACAGTAAGCTCTAAAGGCAAAATATTGGTGTTTACTTTTCTGTTTGAGGTAGATTAGAATTTGCTCTTTCTATTGGTTATAAAGTGTCCAATAACAATGTCAGAAAGGAGTATGGAAATTTCTTAAAACACAGAGAATATGGGAGCGGCATGTCAATGTGGGTTGAACAAATAGTTATCTCAGTAAAGCATGAAGAGGTTAATATTTTATATTCTGACTTGTCAATATCTATAGTTTGTGCTTCTAAATAGCTAAATAATCTAAAAGCCTTATAAACAAAGAGAAAAAAATCTACAAATGAGAAGTCAGACCACCTCTGAACATATACTGATCTTGCAATAGATCAATGTGTTTCATTTTCTCTAGATCTGGAAACAATGAAGAAATTAAAATTAAAACTTGAATTATGGTTGGATAAAATACTGTAACAGAATAATAGTAATGCTTATGTCATATTGCTGTGTAAAAACTAACTTAAAAGTTAAAATTTTATATCTCGCAAAGTTTCAAAAATATACTGGAAATATTTTCAACTGGCACACCACACAAACATAAAATTTGTTACTGTACAGCCTATTATATGATTAAGAACAAAAATGGTTAAAAATATTCAGTATGTATACCAACAGAACAGGATAACATCCAGATAATTAGATGTAAAATTTTCATCAGTTTAATACCTTACAGGTAAACAACAACCAGCAACAGTCAAACTTCATCTGCATTTATATGAAAAGACAATATAATTTTAATAAACATTCCAGCCTTGTATGATTAAATTTTATTCTTCTTATTTTTAATAGGCTTAGGAGAAAGCAGCTTCACAAAATGAAAACACTCCAAACTTGTTTCAATAGCTACTTGGTATGCATGACAGTTGATCTTGTGCTTCTTCAAACAAAATCAGTTTACTAAAATACCTTGTAATATACCAACTGATGTTAGGAAAGCTTCACAAAACCACTCACTACTATTTTTTGGTTCCACAAGCAGAAGGAAAAGGAAAACAGGCCACAGATATGCAAAGTAGCAGAAAAGACTGTGATTAAGAGAAGTTCAAGAATATTTCTTTTACTCAGCTCTGAACATTAGAGATTCTAATTCTTTTTTTTTTAACTGAAGCTATTTCATGAATTAAATATTAGAAACTCTATGTTTGTAAAATTCACAAGTTTTTACTGGTTGTACATAGTAAAACATTTGTTTATTTTATTCACAACATTTCATCAGGTGGTAGGTATACAAGAACTGAGACTAACATAATTTAATTTAAAAAATAATCATGTAATAATCTAAAACCATAGTAATCTACAAGCATACAAATAACCAACTACAAACAATAAAGTAATCTATCAATGAACTGTCAAATGTAGGTATAATAAATAAGCCTGAGTGTAAGTACTGAAATTTGTTCTATATACAAGAAAGAAGGGAATTAAAATAGATATATAAATGAACACCTTTGTATTTGTTAAGAAAAGGGTTATATGTTTTTAATAAACAGGCTTCTTTTACTTTTCTCCTATTAGTCCTCTCTACTGAGTATTTTTGCCTGAGAAAAATCAAAGAATGATTGTTCCTGGGCATGTGTTCGAAAATATGAGATGGGGATTTTAAATGTTCCCACAAATGACAAGAAAGTTGTCTGTTTGTCTCACAAATATCACAGCTTTTGCAATATGTACATTCAATTGCATTATTATCCATATACTTTTTGGATAGCAGTTGACCTAGCCTTTTTTCCAGTAAAAATGTAAATTGTACTTTAATGTCAATTTTACACTCTCTGACTGTTTTTACTCAGACTTTCTGATAGCATGAAGGAAGTTTGGGGTGAACAATAAAACACAAGAAACAGGAGAATCATTTATGTTAATTTGTGGCTATTTTCAAAAGAAGCAGTTACTTTATTATCAACAGTGGGAGGTAAATTGTTTTGTATGTAAAACTGAAATGTAATGTTGTCGTTTTCTTTTTTGAAACAACTGAAGTTGGAACTTATGATTTTATTGTATGGATAGCACTGTTTAATACACCTAGCTTTTTACATTGGTCATGAAGAGAATTCCATGGAACATAAAAGTCCAATGTGAGTATCCTTACAAAATAAGGAGGTTTGGAAGCCTACGTTTGTCTTCTTAACAAGAACACTTAGAAATGACGATTTTCATCAACAACTTTTTCCATCATGAATTTTACATTTGGATGTATCTGATTTAGATGAAAGAAAAACTATGAATAATGTTAAGGTTATTGAAGGCTGAAAAAATGTCATCAACATATTGAAAGCAAATAAAGTGGTTTATAAAGTGAATTTGAGATAGCAGTGTCTTCAATTCTTATCACAGATGTATTGGAAAGTACTGGGGCTATAGGATTTCTTATACGTAGGCCATCAATTTGAATATAATTCACACCTTCAAACTAGAAAGAGGAAAGAAGAAAATTTTCTTATAGTGTTGATGTTTAGGCAAAAACAAGGATTAGAATCATTTTGGTGTCATTCCAAAGCAGCACTCATTGCTTCAAGAATGGAGACTTGAGGGATCAGATTTTTTACATCAAATGCAACTAACTGAACAAAGTGACTAACTTGTCAGAGTTTCTTTTATAAACATTTCAGAATGTTTTATGAAGGAGGAAGTATGAGAAACATACTTAAAAAACATTCAAGTGATAAATTTTCCTAGGTTATAATTTTAAGCTTGGTATGCTTAAAAAAATAGGACATAAGGGGGAAAACAGGTTTGTGAATTTGGGGGAAACCATAAATTTGAGAAGTATGAGAATCTGAGAGATGAAGAAATTGAATAGTTGATACATACCAGTATAAAGTTGAGAAGTTCTTTCTAACTGTAAAATAAATTGTAAAAGTTAGTTTCCATTTTTGGAAATGAGGTGAATCACTGAAGAGTGTGTGCTGGTATACTATCCGATACATGATAACAACAGCCTTACATTTGTCAGATTTCAGTAAAATCATACTTTCATCACTTTTAGTGCTTTATGTTCCTTTGGAGAAAGGTTTGATTTTAGCAGTCTAAGTTTGTCCAGATAGATGAACAAAAAACATGAAGAACGAGTAAAATTTGACTATTTCTTGAATTTTGGGAAAAGACAGAATGGGTAACTGTAGGTTTCATGGGAGGGTGCTTTGGTTATTTAATGAATGATCTTGATTATTTGTAGCTTTAATGAATGATGTTGGAAGAATTTGTAATGGGTTTTTGAATTTGAAGTAATATGAGAAGAGGTGGGTTTATTTGATGAACAAATAAATAAATGATCAGTACTAAAGCAAATATGCTCTATATTCTATAATCTTGCTCAATGATGGAGACCAATTATTGCTTAATACATAAAAACAAATAGTAAAAGATGTCAAAGAGTCTAAAGAAACAACACCCAGTGATAAGTTAAAGGAAAATATTATTCGTATTTTCATTTAGTATCATTCCTGTAGTTGAATTCCAAGATTGGTTGTTAGTGATCCTACACTTAGTACAAAATGTTACCCAATTTGTTAAAAATGTATCTGAAGAATGGCAATATGATCCTCTTCATTAGTTCTTAAGTCTAAGCTTGTTTGCAGCAAAATTTGTAACTATGGCATAGTGGCCCATAGAATGGGTCTGAGTTTTTTTTTTTTTCAAGTACAAACTTTTAGCTTATAGCTCCATCATCTCTTGCCCGATTTGAGAACTAAATGCAGATTTGGACTCAGGAGGTTGATGTATCTGACTATGACCAAGATCTCATAGATTAATTTACTCTAATCCTACCTAAAATAATTTCCAGTGCTACAGCTATTGAGGATTCTATCTTATTGTAGCTCATAGCTCTGTCATCTCCTTATTAACAATTTCAACTTTACTCTGATACTGAAGCAACGGGAAATTTTGAGGAAATTTCATCCATTGCTTTTATGAATTTGAATAATATAAAAGTAATTAAGTAAGGTATGATTAAAAATGAAGACTTTAAAAGTTAAAAGAGAGTAAACAAGTTGAAGGACATATAAAAAAGAAAGGGGACAAGGAGACGCCTGTGTGTTACAAAAATAAGCCTTGAGAGATAAGTAATCAAGAACGAGGTTAGAGCTTCAGTAAGTAATAGCACAGCACATGCATAAGCTATAGAAACAAGCGTAGGAGTTTAGTGACCGAAGGTCACAGTAGAGTCAGTTAACAACCTCTTTAGTCATCACTGTTGTATCATGTTTTGCACACGAATGCCAACGTACAAGGCCAAGAAAGAGGATGTTGGCCTCGATTCTTTAGCACTGTAGAAGCTACAGAAAAGTTTATATTTTATGAATCAGCCCGGCACTT